AGAAAGCCGAGTGCCGAGCGCGACCAAGGAGGATACAACAGACGGTAGATTCTCTGTCTTCCAGAAACGAAGTTGCGATTTGTATAGTGTGAGGTCTTCCTGGAAGAACAGTTGTATGGCTTGTGTGCCGTCGGCCCTTGTGCTCAAAGGGGCCCCTTGAACCAGGTTACGCATTGGGATTCTCAGGCAATGCAGTGAAAAGCCGTGTACGCTGCGAGCCGAAACTGTGTGAAGCTTAGAGACCGCCTGAGATTTCCTCATCTGCTGCGTATCCTGTCAAGATTAGCTGATTAGCTGCCATGAGTAGATGACATCATTGCTTTGCACTGTTGTGTTGCTTGCCTTGCGTGCGATATTATTGGCCATTCCTCCTGGACCCGGCGATCAGGGTCTGGACAGACTCGAGTCGGACCTTGAGCCGAGATGAAGTATATCACAAATGCGTTAGGATGATGAATCCATTTTTTAGATTTGAAATTGTCATCAAGTGAATAATCTTTTCAATCAATGACAAGAGACCGGAAGTTTCTACATTAATTTTTTTTGTTTTTGCAATATTGCAAATTCCCCTAATGCACGTGAACATAATGTCGAAAAGATGTTGAAAGGCTTGTGTGAACATTTCTAGAGCATACGATCCCGCCTATGCGGTATCCTGGGTAAAGATACCCGATGGCCCGATGGCACCCGGCGCAAGGATTCTTTCGATGAGTGCCGGTATGCTATGCTTGAATGCAGGTCTGCATTTCGGGAATGCCTCAAGTCCACTGCAGTATAGAACACGGTCCGGACCCAATGGGCGACGACTTGGCAGTCCACGATGTTGTCCGACAACACGTGACGGGTGACGCAGCGTTCCAACTCATCGACCTTGTTTCGGTATAACCCCCCCCATGAATGGCTTGCAAAAACACGGACCAGATCCCGATGGTGGCCGTATGTGGCCAGCCCGTCGGCACTGCTTCCCGTACCGTGAGCAGCAGGCATGCTCCCGATACACCATCGCCCACACAGGCTGCGTATGTTGTTGTGCCTCGGGCGGCCGACAATACACACTACACGCCCTGCTAAATGGGCTTGCCTGGTGTTGCCCGCGCTGGCGGCTGCAGCCCCGTTGGTACGTGTAGTTTGGGCAGAGCCCAAAGATTGAGGACGATTCCCAGCGTCGCCGAGGGAGAAGCAGTGCCGTGCCGCTCGGCACTTTTGTTCATGTTGCAGATCGTGTTCAGTCTGAAGCCTCAAGCGAAGCATCTTCTGTGTCCTTGCAATCACGCTGAGGCCAACGCTTAGGCCACGTCAGTCTGAAGTGACGAACCAGTTTTGGCGTTGGTCTGTCAAGCGACACTGTTTCCCACCTAAAGTACCTCGTGACGAGGGACGAGTTACGACTATGTGTGCTAGCCCGATAATCTTCCTACCGAAACCATCGCAGGTGTTTCGGCTAGAAACGAAGTTTCTACTGCTATCTACTGCTCTTGCTGTGTGTGTCTTGTACACTTCCGTGGCCATTCTGGATAAAAGTCCCCCACTTCTAGGAGGGCCGGGATCCCCTCCCTCTAGCGAGGGCTGAGACTGGCGAGCCTCCGGTGCAGGGGGGATTGCGACGCCGCCGCCATAGTTCCCGGAGCAAGGCGAGGAGGAGAAGAATGAGAAGCTCGTCCGACCACCTGGTCCACCAAGGAAGCTTCTCGACGAGGGCTGCTCCAAACGAGGGAGGAGAGGCTACTTGACTTGGCGTCTGGACGGCTAAGCTCAGGGACGAGCTGGAGATGTGCCGGGCGCCTGTGTTGGAGAAGATCACAAGGGAAGCCTTGATCCTGACAGAGCCGTCCTCCTGCTAGCGGGCAAGACGAGGCCGAGCACCCTGAAGCGCTACGTGACGATCTACAGGCGCTGGCGACTTTGGTTGGGGCAGGCTAAAGGTGTTCACCCAACTGGCGAGCCGGTCGACCTCGCACACTACATCTTGGTTAGGGGCGACGAGCCTTGCGGAAGGACGGTCCCAGAGGCTATCCTCAAGGCTATATCAGCTGGATGGAGAAGGTCGCGGAGTTCGACCCGGCGAGCAGGCCTACTGCACTACTGCAGGACGCCTTTTACGCACGCAATCAAGGATACTGTGTGGAGAGGCTATCCTGGAAGCACCCTGGACCCGAGACGACCTGATGAAACGGCCAGCTGGAGAAGAAGATGGCGACCTATGCGGACGTGCTGGCGAAGGCAGTGGTGATCTCCTTCTCGTCGAGCTCGCGATCCTGGCTGCTTGGGCATAGGCAGCCTCTGCCCCCAGAGGCCCGCCTCTAGATGTCCGAGCCCTCGCCTTTGCAGCGGCCCAACATATCCCTCGGCGAGACGTTTCTCGGTTTGAGCGCTAGCCCGGAGACGGTGGAGCTGGACGGCTCGGAGGGCGATAGTGAAGGCGAGTTGGGGGCGCCCATGAAACTCAACGTGTGTGCAGGCTATAGCCCAGAACGAGCAGGTCAGGGACGGGTAATGGGTATGCCGGGGCTCCCCACGAGATGGCTAGGGACCTTGCCGCAACCAGGGCGACCGTTTCTTTTCTGGGCGACCGGTGGGCCGTGACCTGCCGGGCTGGGATAGAAAAGCTGGTGGCGTTGGCGGGCTCCACATGACCTAGCCTTCCTTCCTCCCCGTTGTCCTGGAGGGAGGTTTCCCGGGGAGGGGGAGAAAGGAGAGAGGAGAGGTTCTTGCACTTGTGCTGTCTTGGTAAAGGGCTAGTGCTGTGCGTGTACAGTGCTAGTGCGGCTGTGCTTGTGTAAAGGGCTAGTGCGTGTGGCTGCGCTTGTGTAAAGGGCTAGTGCGAGGGCATGCGAGCATGTTGGCTGCGAGCATGTTGGCTAGACTGCACACAAGCAACCGCCGCGGCTGCTGGGGCTAGCCTGGAGGTAACGGTTCAGGAAGCTTTTCAAGTTAGGCTAGGATCTTCCTATAGCGAGGGCTCATGGCTGACCGGCCCCGGACCGGGGCGGCTACAATGCTTGCCGTCCGAAGGGACAGGGCAAGGCTAAGTCATGGGCTAGTACCACCACCAGCGAGGACAACGAGACGGCTACAGGAGAGCTCCCACCTCGACGCGGCGAGAGAACATGACGTTCATGTGTTGGCGAGGGAGATCCGCTACTGGCTATAGGGACGTCGGATAGATGTGCTGCTCTCTTTGAGCAGCTGGAGAGGCAGCCGCTCGACGACCTAGCCGAGCTAGCGGCGATGGCCCGTGAGGCTAGGGATAGGTTCCTGGTGCAGATGGCACAGCGCCCGGGCCAAGCAAAGGCTAATTATGGGCAAGATGTCGGAGAGGCTACTCCACCTCCAACAGAAAAGAGGCTTCCAGCCGGATACACCCCTGCAGAGATCAACAGGCCGCCGGCTACGCCACCGGCCACGGATAGCCCGAGCCCGGAGCTCCTCGCGCAGCTCCTGGCTAGGATAGATAGCCTGATAGCCTCGAGGAGGCCTCCGGGAGGATAGAGCTTCGCGATCAGTGATCCCCACCATGCTCCGGGTGCTCATGACGTGGCTAGGAGAGAAGCTAGCTTCGGGAGATCGCCTACAACGACCAGTACGGCTACTCCGTGGGCTACTACCTCTGAGCTTCTACACTGACGCTATGGCCGAGTCCACGAGAGCATGGATACGGGGCTTCCTAGAGCTAGACTCGGGGAAGCCGGGACCCTGGTTCTCTCTCGAAGTGGATAGGTCTTGGGCACCTTGGGCTTTCTCCAAAGGAGACCCCGAAGAAGGTGATAGCTGCGCTATAGAGTTGCTAGCGACCCTCGTCGGGATACGCCTCTGGGTTCCGGAAGGCGAGGATAGGAAAACCTCGCGAGTTGCCATCAGGGGCTATACGCCTGAGTGGCTTCGCTTGGGGAGGGAGCCGACGGCTAGCGACAATTTCCAGGCTAATTGGGATTTACGCCACATCCATGAAAAAGGAGAGTCGTCGCGCGCTACTGTTTGTTAGCTCGCTGAGCTCGCTGTCGTTGCTCGGCTAGTACAACTATACTCTAGCTAGTACCAACCCGGAGGTTGCGGGGATGGTGGTGGGCTAAATGGGCTCGTGCACGTACCTCGTGACGAGGGACGAGTTACGACTATGTGTGCTAGCCCGATAATCTTCCCACCGAAACCATCGCAGGTGTTTCGACTAGAAAGGAAGTTTCTACTGCTATGTACTGCTCTTGCTGTGTGTGTCAGTCTGCAAGACATGGATAGCATGACTTGGAATGGCGAGGAACCTTGTACACTTCCGGTCCCCCATCGGGGGGGTAATTTTGAAGTACCCACCCAGCCCACCCTGGGGAGGGCAACCTATATGCGAGAAACCAACATTCTGTAAATGCCTCAAGCCCAGTTTCACATGACTTTATGTCGCAAACTGAGAGCCCTGCTGTTGCGCAATGGCCGGCATTTAGGGTGCTGACTGTGTAGCCAAAGGCTAGCGACAATCTCCAGGCTAACTGGGATTTACGCCACATCCATGAAAAAGGAGTCGCGCGCTACTGTTTGTTAGCTCGCTATCGTTGCTCGGCTAGTACGACTACTCTAGCTAGTACCACCCCGGAGGTTGCAGGGGATGGTGGTGGGCTAAATGGGCTAGTGCACTGAACACTGGCTAAAGCCTAGGTCAGTTTCACGACATGTGCACAAATTACTGTCCGAATAGTGTTTGACATGACTGCCTTGGGCTGCCTGTCGAATTCAGTGGTGGATTTACCCCCTTCAAGTTCATGCAGACGTTGTGTTCCACAGGAATTTGGAGAACCCTGGACGCGCCACCTTGTAATCATAGGTAGCCTTGCTGATGGCGTTGGTGATGCATCGCAAACTTTCTCGAAGATAGATGGAGGGTGTCAATGTCCGAAAGATGGAAGACGCTCTACCGGAAAAATTTGTGGGTTGCGTGTACGTGTTGCATTGTGTTGCAGGCCTGCCATCATCCGACTCTTTTCTGGTTGCAGTCGGCTACGCTGAACTCTTGGATGCAGAGTCCAGGGATCGCCATTTTCATCAAGGCAGTCTCAGTCTCAGCAGCTTCCGGATGCAGTGCTTGCCTAGCAATGTGCAACAGATTTTCTTCTTCCTGGGTCCAATGCTGCTTTGTGCAGCAGTGCTGTCATGCGTGGCCGGGTCGCTGGTACTGCTGCTGTTGCAGTTTTGAGACGCGCGGCAACGCACTCTAGCACAGGCGAGGAGCGTGGTACGCGCCGTTGGTGACTGAGAGACAGCCCCTGTAATCATGCGAGTCTGGTTCTTTGCTGCGCAAAGGAAGGCTGGTCACCTTCCTTGATCTTGAAATTTAGCCTCATGAGTGCGACGACGGGATGCTTGGCAGGCTTGGCTTGCAGAGCACTGAGGGAGAGATATAAGTACTTTTAGAATCCAGACTCATGACATGACATCACAGCAAGCATGACGAAATGCCCTGAAGGCTTCGTCGGAATCGGAGGAGGGCTGATATTTTCACCTTATTTTTTGCTCATGGGCCTTGAGCCCGCAGTGGCCGTGGCAACCTCTTCAACTTGCGTCATTTTCACGGCCTCATCCACCACATTTCAGCGTTGCAGCTGCATTGATAATGTTTGCAACTGTCTGCCCTCAGCTATCGCGAGCGCGCTGTTATGAGGTATCTTCTGACAGCCCTGGCCTTGTAAATGCTGTACTCAACAAGCCGTTTTTTTTAGTCCGATGATGCCACCACCAGACCTAGGATCGGGTCATCATGTCTTTGACACTTCTCTACGGGACGATCAACTTGGTGTCTTCATACCTTGGAACGTCCTTGGTCCACTGCTTGCAGGACCGCTTATTCAGATGTTGGTCTGTTCTTGCTCTGATCACCGTCTGATCGCTGCGCATACTGGGACCCTCGCTTCTGAGACGGAAGTCTGTATTGTACGATGCTCGCACGGAGAAGCCCCAGGGCCTGCGGGATCAGCTGTATGCTCTAGACTCTAGACTCCTCCCAGACTTCACCGAGCATTCAGGCCCTGCCGTCCTCGTCTGCTCCGGAGGACCAGCTGAGCGCGCGGCGGTCGGCGATTTCCGGTATCGTCTCTCTGGGCGTCGTGATCAGCACCCTTCTGGCCCTGCGACAGCTGGCCATCGAAGCCTGGGCCCAGGAGAGCAAATCGCTCTTTAGTTTGTGTTGCTGCACCTTTGTGCCAAAGGTGCTGCTGTGAGCCCGCCTGAGCCGCACCTTTGCATTGTCACTGACACTGCGACATTGCAATGCTCCGCGAGAAAGACCGATGAAGAAGCGTTGAGATGACAGAGAGCATGCTGCAGCGACTGTTTGAGCAGCAGCCTGTGCAAGTTGCCGCGATGGCGGAGCTCAGGTCTCAAGCGAGCTCTTCCTACACATAGATCCACATTGTTCAGAATCATTGTCGGCAAGGCATTTTTTTTGCAACGATAATGTCCCGAGGCATCTGTTGCTTGACAAGACAAAGGCTGAAGCCTGGCTTCGCTTGTTTGCCTTGCAAGTCGGTTGGGTTTGTACACTTCTTGCACTGAAACACGAGTGTATTTCCCCAAAGATTGATGCAATGCAGGACCTTGAATGTGTACTTCCACTACAGCTTGATGCAACACAGCACCTTGCAACTTGTATGTCCTCGTCAGCTTGCCACCAAGAAGGACGATTTCCCGGATAGGCTGTGACGTGGAGCAGGGCAGTGAACAAGACCCTGCAAGTTGAAATTTCCGAGAGCTTGTAGCAAGTAAACGCTCAGTACCTGTACGCAGAGGCAATCTACGATTTCCGGTATTTCTTGATGTCAGGCAAGTTGTGTCCTGGTGTGTGCTTGAGATTGAGATATTATGTTGGGCCACCGTTGATGCTTCATTCTCACTGTCTTGCTGATATACAGAAACAAGCAGAACATGCTGAGGTATGCTGGCTGCAGTTGCCTTCGGGGCTTCAACATCGGCCACGTGTAGCTCATGCACCGTAACACATCGGTCATGGACTGGCGGCCTAGCGTCGTTCTCGTTAGGCCTTTAGTTCAATAGTTGTGCTTGTGGGTGACTGCTGAAAGCGTCACTGACCTCTTGGTTGAGTTTCGGATCAAGTGCAGGTCCGTTCCGTGAAGGGCTAGAAGCTCAAAACACACCCACCTGAAGCAGAAGACATGATTGCATGTCAATGAGCTGATTCTCAGCATACGCTAACAGCAACAGCGCTTGCATCCGAACACGATCTTCGTCATGCATCATTGGTCATATGAAAACCGACATAAAGCAGAACTTCTGCAACGTAATGTAGTCCCCGCCGGCTCTTCTGCGACTTCTTCATCCAGGACCAATTAGCTCCTGGCAGACTTTTCAAGGAGTGGGTCTCACCAAAGCCATCATGCTAGTACTGGACAATACAATGGTTGGAACGCTGATATGTTTGAAGGCATTGCTGTTTACACAGGTTGATCGCGGAGGAGCCTTGTCTGTTCATGTCGATGTGCTCTTCGACCTCCGTCATCCCAGCGGCGACGAAGCGCTTTCGCCTTCCCAGCGAGCTTCTCCCCACAGGAGCTTAGGTACGGAGCTGCCTTGCAGGATTACCTCGCAACTCTTGTTGAGCCAACCCGAGGCCCAAACAAAGCAACCTGGAGGAGGTCTGCAAAAAATTGTTCGAGCGGTTCTAACGTCCTGTGACACAACATGATGCCCATGAAAAGCTTTAGAATATACATTTCCTCGACCTATGCCGGTGTCTGGACAAAGAGAAGATCTATTTCGACACAGACCAGAAGCCGAAATGCTTGTGCACATCGTTCACACGCTTGGCTGCCACGCATTTTACGTCAACCGTGAAATCGTGATGACCCAGTTGACGAAACGCTTTCATTTTCCGAGGCTTCCTGGAGATGCGCGACTGCTCAATCAGAAGCTCATTGCACGCAGATGCCATCCAAGATACTACGTTGGTGCTGAATAGCTAGTTCTCACATCTCGTCGTGATGGATCTTCGAGTTGTGTAGTTGAAGTCGAGTCAAGCTTCGCAAATGTCTGGAATCGCCTTGCATTCACCTTTGTTTGAGATTGTCCGTGTTCGCATTCAGCATTTCACCGGACTCCTCTCGAATCCAAACTTGCTTTGTTCTGACCGAAAACTCAGCAAATCTGTACCTCATAGGGAAGTAGTAAGGATATGAGGATACGACACACCTTAGCCGAGCGATGCCAGGAACTCTCACCCCCATGCAATCGTATGACCGGCAATATCTACGCTGCTAGCCCTTAAAAACCGGCCCCCGAAAGTTCGCCCGTTTCGGATACTTGTGTTGTGCTCTACGCGAAGGCTGGTGGCATCGTGATGATTTCGTGTCCATTCTATGTGAGACGTTGTTGTGTGCAAGTCGTACGTGCAACGATGACAAACGAGAACTACGGGTTAGCATCCATTCTCGGAACACAACAAGAAGACAAGAAGTGTCTGTTGCAAGAACAAGGCCGCCGGGCCGCGCCCGCCCGTGTGGACATGACGAGACACAGATCGAAGCGCTAAGCGGATTTTCGATTAGCCGCGTAGCCTCGCGTAGCCTCAAAGGCCCAGAGGCCATGGGCAATCAGGCGGGAGTGCTCTGCTGCAGGACGGGACGCTCCTTATGGCTGCCGAACTTGCTGGGGAATGGATTCTGCGCGCTTGCATCATGCAATGTGAGGCACAACTGGGGTTTTGCGGGGCTGCCTGTTGGGCTGTGCCGCAAAAGGACGCCGTCTTGGGTCGCTTGCACTTCACAGAGACCGGAGAGGTGGTCTATCTGACTACGGCCGGGGACCGGCCTCCACGTGCTGAGCGGCTGAGCGCATTGCTCAAGGGCTTGCCTTCTGCTTGCCTTGCCTTCGGCTTTTCGGCTTCGCTTCCCTCCGCTGCTTCGCCTTAAGCCTGTGCTTGGGAGGACCTCCTTGGAAGAGGGCTTGGCGTCTGGGTCTCCGAGGGCCCACTCGCAGGCTTTCAGCTGGATATCTTCCAATACGAGGCCCAGGGCGCAGAACACTTCAATTTAAATTGTTTCTGCTGTGCTTTCGTTGGGCATCTGTGCCATTCAAGGCTGCTTCGACAAAGCATGTGCAGCCTTCTCCTGAAGTGGTACTTCGTGCACGCCCGCAGTGTGGGCGGGTCTATGTCGAACCTAGGACGGAGCCCCATCGCTTCAGAGGATTGGGGAAGTTTCCTGAGAGAGGAAGCTGGGTCGGAGAGTGGCGTGAACCCCAGAAGTGCCAGCTGCAAGAGCGGCGCGGGTTTATGAAGAGCCCGAAGCAGCGAGGCACTTTCTTGCATTCCAGCAGCCTCCTCGAGTCGTCGGCCGCTTCCATGCACGCCGATCCTCTCCGAACCTGGCCATGCCCGCCCTTTCCCAGAAGCCCCTCGAGGACCCAGTCGGCCAAATCTAGGCCACCAGGCCTTTGTGAGCAAGAGAGAGGAGAAAGAAAAAGAGAGAGAGAGAGAGAGTAGCCATTTTGGCTCAAGCCGCGAGTGGTTCAAGGCCGCGCCAACAGACAGCAGAGGGCCTCAAACCAGGGCTGAGTGGAGAGACCTTGGCCTCAGAGAAGAGGGGCCATTGCGAGCACACCGGCAAGCTCGCAGTTCTACGCGGGGGCACCGTGAACGTTGTCCAGCGCGACCTCGGCAGGGTCGTTCCTGTACGGTGGCCACACGCCGCTCCTTCGGGACTTCCCCAACCCTCGACTCCTACGGCCTCGGCGAACCTACAGGGGGGTTTTTTCGCGGCCGCGATCCTCCGCAAGAACCTCGCTGGGAGACTACGGGGGGCAAAGGCAAGATCGTGATACTACGGCGCCAGCCGGGCAGGGGGGGGCAAGCAATGCAGGCGAGCAAGGGGACAGCCCCTGCAAGAAACAGAGAGGCGAGGACCCGGGGGCTCTCACGCTGGACATGATCCGGGAAGCCATGCGGACCGAGCTCGGGCGCAGTAGAGAGGAGCTGGGGCAGTCGATTGCCTCGGTTCGCGACGAAGTTGCCCTCTTCAACAAGCGGGTAGATGGATTGGAGGCCGGGGTGACCCAGCAGATGGACACGACCAACAAGATGTTCAGCATCATGACGGGGAACCACGACAAGCAACAGGCGGCACTGGAGCAGATCCGCCTGACCCAGACCACCCAAGCTGAGGACATCAAGGCCTTCCAGGGGGGCCAGGAGGAGCTCGAGAACCGCCTGGCGATCCTGGAGAGCAAGCTCAAGGGTTCCTCGGTCAATGGGGGAAGTACTGCCGACACAGAAGGGCCACGGCGACCTGCCCTGATTATCGGCGGCTGGCCGGAAGAGCAACCGGCCAGTGAAACGCTCCAGAAAGCCAAAGACATACTCCGGCAGCTCGACGTCCCCCTCGACTACAGTGAAATCTTCGTGCCAGGCCTCAAGAGGGGATACGCCATTGTGCCGATCCCCCAACGATGGGGGGAATCCGAGGACCAGCGTCGGGAGATAGTGCAGACCACCCTGCAAAAGGTGCGACGAGCCAACGTCATGCTGGGGGTCAACCCGGCAGGGGGGCACAGAAAGCTTTGGATGTCGCTTTCGCAGTCGCCCGAGCGCAGGCGCAAATCCAGGCTAGCCGGCAAAGTGAAAAGGGCCCTGCTTGAGATGGGGGCCCAGCAAGGGCGCATGGAGGTCGAGTTCTCCACGGGCACGGTTTGGTACGACCAGGAACGCCTCAGCAGTGCCACCTTGGATCCACCCCGGGGGGCAGAGCGAGCGGGGGCAGGCTGGGTCAACCTGCAGATCATGGCTCGCCTCCTTGGCAAGGACGCCCAAGAGGTCAAGGATGCCTGGCAGCCGCGGAAGGACGAGCTGCGCTGAACCACCGGACAAACACGGGTCTCTCACAGGCCGCCACCCCCCGAAGGGGGGCTAGAGGAGGCCGCGCTGGGGGTCCTCAGCTGGAACCTGGGGGGGCTCGCGGGGGAAAAGATCCTCGAGCTCACCCGGAATTTCAATGACGACCCCGTCCTTTCCGGAATTCATGTACTTTTGCTACAAGAGGTAGTGACAGATGCAGGACTGTATTTTGCCGCGAAGTATGACTGGGTCCTTGTGTACGGCAAGAAAGAAGGAAGTTGGAGAGGAGAGGGAATACTGTACCACAGCAGCAGAGGCTTACACCACCACAGCAGAGTCCATACCCACGCACTCAGCACCACCATACGCTGCCCAAGA